ACCTTAGCCATGAAAGCCAGCTGGGTGACCTTCCACTAGTTGCTCCCTCTCAGCCCAATTCATCTCATTGCATTGTTGTGGAGAAAATAGAAGGAGAAAGGTGTGTTGGATATGAGTTGTTTGTAAAAATAATAAAGGCGGGGTACAAATTAATGAATAAATCAATCAATAAAAATGCCTTATATAACACATGTACAATTATTAACCTGACTAGGTAACCAATTATAGCAATGAACCTGCTTCCATGGATGCACATATATCAGTTCTGTTTCCAAACCATTTACAAAGATAGTCCCATATAAAGCTTGATGCAATAATCTAAGCATTATTAATCGATGGACAATAATAGTTTAGCAATTTTAGTTTAAGCAATGTTTTAGCTGAGCTTTTTTTAAGTTTTTGTCACCTCAAAGATCACTGAGACATCCAATTATGTTGTTTACATTCACAGATATCTTCTATCTAACATTTCCAAGACAGAGTGACCCATCGAGAATAAGCAAGGTTTTCACTTCTATCTACACATTCTCCACTTGAGATGAGTAGAGCAAATATATTGATGATTCCTTTCCCAAAAATGATTGATAACCATCTCAGCAGATTCATAGAGATAAAAAAAATCTCTCAGGACAAAATAGCCTTATGGTATACAACAGTTGTCAGAATTCAAAGGCATAAATACTTTTTTATACAATTCCTGTAAGTAGGAACAGAACTATTGTCCCACAAGTAAACCTACTCCCTCCTCATGAAAAAAAATCCAATAACTTATCCATGTTGATATTATCCAAAGTTGTTGAGATATCAAACAGGTTCAACAGAATGGCCTCACTAATGAAATCAAATTGCAAATTCTGTGCGATATGTCCAGATGTGTCTGGAGAATAAATGAATGAGGAAATGGATAAGTGGGAGAGTCAGTGAGTGAACTGAAATATGCACACCTTTGCAGGTGAGGTTCATTGAGATTGCTTCTTTTATTTCCCCCAGCCTTTCAAATCTGTGGTTATGGAGACCGGCCTGCTCATTCTGCTCTATATTATTTCATTCTTCCAAGCATCAGAAGCCAAGCAGAGTAAGTTTGATTTCTGTATATATTTCAGAATGAACACTAGAGCCATGTCAGGGACAAATGCTAATTTAGTAGTTTTTAAGTTGTGCCCCTGAAATTCCAATTTTCCAGTACAAAATACAACCAAAAACCATAGCATATTCTGAATATTGTAGGCTCAATGGTTCACCAAAGAGATTTCCTAAACCGGGGGTGTCAAACTCAAGGCCCATGGGCCAAATCTGGCCTGTGGGGTGCTTAAATCTGGCCCACGGGGCTGGCCTGGAAATAGCAATGGATCGGCCAGTGGTACCTTTGACAGCCAAAACAGGCACAAGGGGGCCACACTCGGCCCCCGTGTGCCCCATTTTCAGCCTGGATGGCCTCCTGCAGCATTTTGCTGGCCAAAATGGGGCACGGGGGGGCCACCTGTAGCTCCCCTGCACCCCATTTTGGCCAGCAGGGTGCTGCAGGAGGCATCCATCCCATCTCCTCCTCTCCCCAGCCAGCTCATGGAGGAGAACTACAATGCTGATCCTGCCCTCAAAGAAATCCAGTTTGACACCCCTGTCCTTAAACCCAGTGTTCAGCCATCTGCATGTTTTGTAAAGGGATCTCTGAGTAAAGATGCAATCAGTGACTCTCTTCACCTTGTTGCCTGATGGTAGTATTTTGATCCATTTGCTTGCAGTCTCCTTATGATTCAGACTTAAAAGAAGGTGTCAAAATGAGTAGAAGCTGATGTTTCTTTCACCTTGTTCTTTTAACTGTTCACTTGCAGGACCCAGCTAAGCAACAGGGTGATAATATAACTAGACTAACTAATTATCATGGTGGAAAGTGGGGCCCTTGCTTCAGAAGGTGCAAAGATATTGAGCCTCAACTCTTTCTTCTTGTTCAGTGTGATATGAAAGGAAGAGGAGAGAAGGGTTCCAGGGATAATGGGGAAGTGGCTGAATTGAATGGATTGTTAGATGGGAGAGGCTTTATCCCACATTTGTTTTTATAAAAAAGCAGAACTATCCCACTACTTTCTGACCCAAACCCAAATTAGGAAACTATGCTTCAAGTAAGTGAGTATGAGAAGGGAAATCTAATAATTTATATATGACAAGGAAGACCAGAAGGAATAGAAGCAGGAGCTAGCTTAGTTGTGAGGTTTCCATGAGAAAAAGCAGGCTAAGTGCCAGAAACATTTTATATAATTTGTTATTGAAATCAACATCTCAGACTAGTTTATAAGAAAAACAGTAAAGGGCAACATAGTTGTTTACCTATCATTGGTTAAAAAAAAAAGAAGTACCCCATGATGTAATGAATATTTATTTCATAACCAAAGTGTTGCCCATTGATGGCCATATCCATAATATCTTTTCCAATAACGAAATCTGCTCATCCAGTGGGAAAAAAAAAAGGAATAAGCCTTCTTTTGCCCACTCAGCAGAACTTCCTGGCGCAGTGAGTTTCACATAACACAGAATGAAATGACCCAACAGATTTTCACCTCTCTACTAACAGAATCTTCAAATCTGGATTGTTTATATGACTCATTTGAGACAATCATTTGTACCTGGATCCCTGTGAAAAATGCTATGAAAGGGCAATACCAACTCACTGCTTCGGTCGAATATGAGTAAGTAATCAGTAAAATGCATTTAGAAGATAAAAACCAGTTTGCCTTGTCCTAGGTATCATCAAGTCATTCACCAATAGAAAAAAAATCATCTAATGTCTTGTCAAAGAAATATATAGAATATTAGTTTCCAATGACTTTCATAAAGCCACCAAGCACATTGTCTTCAATACTCTTAGGAAAATATTGACTTTGAATACTTACAACCCTGCACCTTAATAATTTGCAATTGCTGTGTTATAAGTATTTTATTAGTCCCTGAGATTCTCAAAATGTGGATAATAACCACTCCAAGAGATAAACACCAATTTCGGAGTTGATAGTAAAACTTTTTCATATATAGTCTTCATCGAAATAGTCAAGCTCAATTTTTTTAGTATTCTTAATTTTTGGTTAAGTCACTCTTTGGTTAGAAGTTTAACAAGTTAACTTGTAACACAATTGACAATGTTGTAATCTGTAAACAGGTTTCTCAATCTTGGCAAATTTCCCCATGTTGGCTAGTGGATGCTGAGAGTTATTTTACTATTTTTTTATTTAGATATATTAGCTGCTCAACTCCAGTGGATTCTGGGATATGTACAAACTAGAAAAAACCCAAAACCAGCTAAAATATAAAATCAGATTGTCCAAACTAAAATAATATAATAAATCACATAATCAAATAAATCTAATAAATGACAATCAGCAAAACAAAACAGGGGCCTTAAAAAAATCATAAGCATTGAACTCAGGCCTGGGACCAAAGCCAGGTCTATAAAACCTTTCTGGAGCCCTAGGAGAAGGGTCTAGGATAACTCACCATGATCTACTCACCATAGTCTACTCACCACAGCCAACTCACCACAGCCAACTCACCACAGCCAACTTGCTGTGAGTAATTTACTATGGCCAAATCGCCATAGCCAACTCACCACAGGACAACATACCAGGGGACAATTCAATGCTGCATTCTTTCATTCAGTTACTTTTATTGTTAGTGACCATGTTTTTGTCAAAAGTATTGTAACTCTTGTATTTCTGGATTGACTTTATTTTATTATTATTGGCCATCGTTCCATCAAAATTAATTTAACTTTTGTATTTGTTGAATTGTCCCGTGGTAAGCTGGATGTGGCAAGTTGGCTGCAGCCAGTTGGCTGTGGTGAGTTTGCTTTTGTTATACCTGCCTATTAGTTTTATAAAATATTTAAATTTATGCATTAAAATTTGTCAGTTGAAATTTATGCATTAATATGTTGGTATGGTTCTATAATTTGCTGTTATTCAAAAGTAAACTTGTTTACAATTAGAAAATTGTATGCCTTATGACAAGTCTTCCTTGCAGGAAACCACCTAAGACATGTCAAATGAATGGCACAAGCATAAGGAGCTGTAAGCTAATTCTTGAGGTGAGTAATCCTTTTACAAAATCCTGGCTAATGTGAACAATCTTTTTACAAAAGTTTTTCTCAGTATATCATGCTGGAAAAAGCAGTATTTGATGAAGCAAACTTACAGCTATAAAGTGATTAAACCTCCAACACCAAAAAGTTCTTTGTCCTTTGGCTGAATATTTTGGCATATTAAAATTGCCACATTTCAAGATATAGGGCTGAAATTTCTGTTTCAATAATAATTTGACTTGTTCACTGATATTGATATGCGAAAACTCAGATATTATATACCACTCTTATTCTTTTCCATATTACTTTGATCCATTCTCTTTACTTTGGCAGAGGGGAAAAAAAGAATATGTCAACTATCACCAAAGCCACCAAATTTTTAAGGATATATAGAGTATAATAGTTAAAACTGATTTAACAGTTGTGGAGTGATTTTATTTACTTATTTTAATAGAAATTGAATTCAACCTTAATATCACAATTCATAAATTAAGAATAATGTTGAAATGTACAATTAAACATGCAAACACGATCTCTCCGTCAATTAAAAAAAATTACCAAATTTCCACAAAACATTTATTAGAGAAAAGAAATGAATAGAAAGTTATAACACAAAATATGACACAAAATATTATCAAAATCAAGAGTTGTAAAATTTGCCTTCACAATCTCTTTTTTAAAAAGGAGTTAAAATACAGTTCCAGGAAAAGGAAATTCATTCAGAACCAAGATGCCATTACAAATTCCTTCAACATTGTCCAACTATTTACTAAGTCTGCATTACTATTACTATCAATCCTCTCATCATTCCTATCACCCATCTTTTCCCACTTGTGACTGTATGACTGTAACTGTTGCTTGTATCCTTACGATTTATATTGACTGTTTCCTAGTATGATTTGATTGCTTATTTGTACCCTATGACTATCATTAAGTGTTGTACCTTATGATTCTTGAATGTATCTTTTCCTTTTTTGTACACTGAGAGCATGTGAACCAAGACAAATTCCTTGTGTGTCTAATCACACTTGGCCAATAAAGAATTCATTCATTCATTCATTCATTCATTCATTCATTCATTCATTCATTCAT